AAACCCTAATAAGGACGCGCGGTAAGGACGCAAGACCCTTGGAAGCCGAAGTTGGGATTCTTGGGGCGGCGGACGGCGAAAACCTCAAGGACGCAAGAGCAAGGAAGAGCAAGGACGCAAGGGTACCCTGAGCAAAGTCGCGCGTCCTTATTAGGGTGTTTGACTGTACTGTACCATGCATTCTTCTCCAGAGAGGTATGGCCAGAAAGCGCTCGCCGCGGAGCTTCTTGAGGAACTGGGCATGCTTGTCGGTCTGGCGGCTATGTTGCCGCCGTCGCCGCCCCGTCGCCGCCTCGTCGCCGGCCGTCGTCTGGGCCTGTTCTTCGTTCGGGCGGACCTGTTGCCGCCGTCGCCGCCTCATCGCCGCCCGTCGTCTGGGCCGGCACTGCTTCGCACTGCATTGCACTGCTGTGCAAAGTGTTGCGCTGCACTGCATGCCTCCTCCTCCTCCTCCTCCTCCTCCTCCACCTCCTCCTCCTCCTCCTCCTCCTCGTTCTCTTTCCTTCCCTCCTCCTCCTCCTCCTCCTTCTCCTCCTCCTCCTCCTGCTCCTCCCCCTCCTTGTCGTCGCCGTCGTCGTCCTCCTCCTCCTCCTCCTCGTTCTCCTTCTCCTCCTCCTCCCCTTCCTCTTCCTCCTCCTCCTTTTTCTCCGTCCTCCTGCAGGCAGATTCTGGAGGAATAGTAGAAAGCTGATCAGAAACCCAAACCCTGGAGTCGTTCCTTAGGTGAGCTCTCATGGGGGCCTCCGTGGGCCTCCGCGGCCCCATCATAGACGTGAGGTCGACCGGACTCGATCCGGATTTCGACCGTCACTCCTCACGCGTTCGTCCAGACTTCGTCCAGACATTTGTTTTTTTGATCTGCAGGGCGAGAGCGAGCCTCTTCCGGTCGAAGCTAAGCGGGCCGCGCACAGCTTTAATTGACACAGGGGGGAAGGCAGAAGGAGGGGCCTCACGTCAAGGCCAAGAGAGGGCAAAGCCCCGGGATCAGGCGGTGCCGAAAGCGAAGTGCATGCGATTTCGTCCAGACAGACGTCGACAGAATTCGACGGACTCCGAGGGAAATCCCTCACACCGCAGGCAGCTCCGGGACCCTCTGAGGCTCCCACGGAGGACCACACAACGGTCCGACCCACCTTGGCCACCCGGCTGGGGCCCAGCTCGGGGTGAGCTTCAGAGACCCTTGGCGGGGTGATCGGCTCAACCCGCAACACCCTGGGATGACCCCGATGCCAGCCGTGAGGATGTTCGCGAGCGGCGAACGTGTCCACATACAGATCCACTCCCTCGCGGCCGGGAGTCTGGAACGCGATCCCCGGGATACGCGGTCGCACTTCCACGCTCCGCGCGGGGCATCTGCGAAGAAAACGCCCCGTGACTACGGCGTCGCAGCCCAGGGGCCCGGGCCACGAGGCCGCGGACATGGGTCACGTGCTCTGCCCACGCGAAGGGGCCTTGCCTCGGAACGAGCAAGCTCCTCTCGCCGTCGCCCGGACGTCCATTCCCCGTGCACGGTTCGATCTCGTGCGCGTCTTTTTCGCAAGATGGTCCAGGATGTGGCCCTCGCCGATGAAAAGTGCACACGTCCGAGCGATGCCAAGCCAGAGGTGAACGATGTGGAGCGTAGCGGAACGACGTGGGACGAGGTGAAGCGAGGTGACGTGAGCAAAGACAAGTGATGCTGTGTGACGTGATGTGCCATCTCTTGCACTGGAGTGACGCGCGCTGTGAAGAAAGATGACAGCTGTGAAAGAAACTGACGCGCAGTGAACCGAAGCGAAGCGAAGTCCGGCGAAGCAAGAGCAATTCGCCGAGCCGAGTAAGTGACCGGCGGGGCAGAACGAGGTGGCCTGACTTGGAGCAGAGAGCGGCAGGAGCCCGTCCGTAGCTGCGGATGCCGACAAAGCCACGTGCGTATACACCCACATGCATTAACGGGCAAAGAACGGTATAAATAAACTTGTTCGCTGTCGGGGGCGCCTGTCCCAGGGCGGCTGGAACGTTTATACCCTCACGGTGGCACGTGAAGGTATAAACTTTCCAGCAGCCCTCGGGCAGGCGCCCCCGGCGACGGAAATGTGTTTTTGATACCGCTCTTCGCCCGCTAAATGTAGGGGGCATGCCTGCGTACGCCCTGCTTTGCCCGCTTCCGGCATGTCCTGCCCAGGCAGGCGACCTTCTCCCCATGTGGTGTGGGTGTGTGTGGAAAAAGATGGACTACAGAGGCTCGGCTGCCTGATGGCCCAGACATCCAGACATCCCTCGCTATGACGGTAGGCTGAAACTAATTAGGATGCCACTCTGCCTGCAAAAACTCGTGGTTCAAACGTGTAAACCGAGGCGCACTGGCCCAACGGCCCCCGAGTTCTGATGGCAACCAAACACGGCCCCAGGAGACCGATTCAGGCAAAACAGAACTTTGTCGAACCCACATCTCGAACATCGCCTCCCTTTCCTGCTCGCCGGAACCAGTGCTGGGCCACCTCAGCAGCCGACTCCAAGAGACATCGCCGCTTTATGTGGCGGATTCCGGAAGCCCTGAAGCAAAAAACGTTTTCCTCACCTGGGAGCGCATCTTTTACTTCCGCCGCCTTCCGCCAGCCTTCCGCCAGCCTCCTTTCTCACATCACTGCGCCCAAGCTCGCTCAATCGGACGCTTCGTGAGGGGCCATATAAAACCTACCGAAATCGGCGCATCTAAAATCCTGTATTTTAGACGAGGGGCCCTGGACAGGGACGCGCGAGATGATCGGGGAGCCAGGGCCCCGCACACACGCGCCCCCGCCTCTGCGGAGGCGGCATTGCGGGCGCGGCCCTCGGACCCCCTCTAGGGCCTCGGGGCAGCACCTCCCAAACAGGGCGCTCGAGGAAACAAGACCGAAGGAAGAGCAGGCAGCGACGGAGGCAGCAAGCGGAGCCTCAGGGTACACCCTCGATCTCATTGGCATGCTCGGTTCGCCCACGGACCCAGACACGAAACTGAAGAAAATCCTGAGCTCCACACCAACGTCGCTCACCAACGTCAGAAATTTGATGTGGAGGTATGCGTTCAGACCCCACTAGAATGCACAAAACTGCCAAGCTATCGTCCCGCCGCGGACCTCTGTCGATCAAAAATGGCCGTCAATGTGAGGCTCGAGGGCGCCTGGGCCCCACGGGCTCCACGGACACGGGGTCGGGACTCGGTTACTTCCTGGACTTATTCTTGCCAGCGGACTTTGTCTTGCCATCGTCCCTGAAGGCGAGCTGCTCGATCTGCTTTGCGACCTTTGACCTCGGGCCGTGATCGTGACCGAGTAGGATCGCCACGGACTCCATGCCTCCGTTGAGGCGCAGCACGTTCAGGGCGGTCTTCAGGTCGGGGTGGTGGTTGCATGCGAAGATCCAGCGTACTTGATCCTCGCCCTCGGTGTTGAGTCTGATCTTGAAGCATCTGGCGGCCTTCAAGATCGCGTCTGGATTCTGAACGAGCTGGCCCCACCTCTCTAGAACTCCGACGGCCTCGGCGGCCGCCTGTGGGCGGGGGCCCTGCTCGATTGCCTTCATCAGCCTCTCGCGGTCGGCGGCTGCGGCCTCGGAGATCCGAAAGACGACCATCTTCAGGAGGGCATCTGGTTTCTTGCCCATCGGGTGGCCCTTGAAGTCGTCGCCCTCTCGAGCGGTCTTGCCCACTCGCACGTGCTCCTGGAAGCCCGTCTCCAGCGCCACCTCGAAATTCTGGCCTTCTTTCAAGGTCAGCGTCAGGTTGTCGTCTCGCGCCGAGGCCTGGTGCGCGGCTTCGTGCTGAAGTAGCAAGCGGCGCATCAAGGACTGCAGCTTGCCGTTGGGAGTCGTCTCCTTCTCCTCGTTGGCCCGTCCCTCGGGGGGGCCCTCCGCGCTGCGCTTCACACCGTTGGAGATCTCCGCGATCGGGGTGAACATGCGCGGCTGGCGGAGGAGGCGGGGCCGGCGGGCCTGGTAGGTCTGGAGCTGCCGCCCCTGGATCTTGAGCCTCGCACGCCTGTGGTACACGGCACCGATGTTTCTGAATATGACGAACAAGTGCATCCTCTCGGCTGAAGGAAGTAGAACATCTGGGGCACCTCAGGGATCTCAGTTGGTCATCTGTGAGGTCCGTGGGGTTGGCGTACTTCTTGTGGACCGAAAAATATGATTGGCCAAACCTCTGGGGCCTTGACACATACGGGGACAAACTGGGCACTTGATCATCACCTCAGGGGCAGGGACCACGCCCGCGGCTATCTTCGCTTCATCCTCGGTCGCATACCTTCGCACTTGCCAAAGATGAGCTCGGGGGAGCCGACACAACCATCGATGCCGCGGATGGGTCGGAGCGGGTTCGGGATCATCCAGGGCATGGGCATCACGGGCTTCTTGTTTGGCCTCGGGGTCCACGGTCTGCCAGAGCTGCCTCAAGTCCTCACGTAAGAGTCCCAGGAGAGAGTTGACCTCTTTATGACGGGGGCCCTCGAAGTTGAATCTGCCAAACACAACTGCTTGAACCAGACGGGAGGGGTCGCACTTGGAGACGTCATCTTCGCCGTCGCCTTCCCGGGGCTGTTTCTTCATGAGGTCGGGGGAGGCTGGCCGTACAACGCCCGCCCACCAAACAAGCCGTTTCTCGAGCAAGATCGAGGCGGCCGTCGCCACACGCGCGAGCCTCCTGACCTCCGCATTACAGACATGGTGGACATGAGCGGGAGCACGGGCAAGGTAGCGGAGCTCACGGGTCTGCCGGTGCTCAAGTCTGTTGAGGTCGCGCTTGGTCACGACAGCAACCTCGAGGCCATAGAGGAGGGCCGATCGAACTAGCGAGCACCACAGTCGAACGCGAAGCCGAACACTGAAGCGGCCTTTAAAAAGCTCGACGGGCTAGGCGTGCCTGTGCGGCGCTACTACCCTGAATCCTACGAGTTACCTCCTCCACCCTCGAACCGCCCCCCCGCTGCTTAGCGCCCAGATATTTGACACTAGCTGTAGCATGTACTGGTGCGATGTGCATCCTGATGTTCGTTTGCTCGGCTCTAATCTTAGTCTTGCGCTGCTTGCTCATGTTGCCAGTCACCACTATTAGCATCTCGGTCTTAGCGTCGTTTACTTTCATCTTGCCCTTCGAGATTTCGGAATGCAGGAAGGCAAGGAACCGACAGGCTGTCTCGAAGTTTTCGACAATGGTGAAGGCGATCAGGTCATCAACGAACTTTATCGGCGAGACTACCATCCTCTCCTCTCCCTCGTCTCCCATGAGGTTATGCCGGTGCCTAATCTTTTTGAGCTCGGGGTCAAAAGCGACGTACACTTCGGGAAACTCAGAAACGGAGCGGCTGCTCGGAAGGGCCGACGCGAGGGCGTCGCACACCGCAACATACTGAAGCGGGCCCTCGACGCTGCCCTGGCGGACCCCCTCCGGGACGAGGAGCTTCCCAATGGGCATGTTGGTTCTGATGTCGCGGGCGATGTAGCACGTGCCTTCGTGGAGCTCCTTTACCGTGAGTCTGACGCTGCGCTTGACGGCGAGCGTCTCGAGCGCGGTCCAAAACTCATCACGATCTATCAAGCCGAACGCCTTCTCAAGGTCGATCAAAACGGCTAGGAGCATACCAGGTGCTGCGCCCGACCCAAGCCGCGACCTGCGCCCACGCAGGCGATACCGTCGGATAACTTCAGCTACAGCCGCCAGGGCATCCCGGGTAGACCTGCCAGCCAAAGCCCCGAACTGCGAAAATGAAAGACGAGACGCCAGTCCTCTAAGCTCGGGCATGACAGTAACATTCATGTAGACCTTGCCGATGCGATTGGTCAGGTTGATCGTTCTGTCATGGTCCTTGGCGCTCTTGCCGTCGCCCTTCGGCTTCCTGAGGGAGACCGTCTCTCCGTCCTTGAAGCGATGGGCGGAGTGGCCAAGGGCGCGGCAGGCGCGGAACACATGCTGCAAGGCTGGGGCTGTTTCAGAAACGCACAACTTCCAAATCTCAATGACGGGTCCACCGAAGGGCTGGTCGACGTGGCTGTCGGTGCTGGGTTCAATGGTGGGCTCATGGTCGCTCATCGCTGGCATCTTGAGGACTGGGGCACTCTTGTAATTCGGCACGCTGCGGGTGGTCTTCGTTATGTCGTCGATGCTGTAGGTGCCAATACGCGCGTCGTCTCGCGGAAGGAGGCCTGGGGGTCCACCTAAGCTGTTCATGTCAATGATAGTTCCATTAAAGATGGCGCTCAAAGCTCGGGCTCGGACCTCAACCTCCTTCTCGGCGCCCCGGCAAGTCCCACCTGTTGTGAGGTCGTTGACCGTGACGACAGGGGCGACAGGTTTGGGGGCCAGGCGCCGCACCACAGCGCGCAGGCGGCGGAGGTCCATGGCGGCCCCAGCTGCTTCTGCTTCTTTTGCCGTCTCGGCAAGGCGCTGGCGGCGCTCAGCTCGAACTGCTTTGGCTGCTGCTCCGGCGGCCTCGTCAAACCTGGACTGGAGGCGGCCGTGCGCGGAGGTGGTCTGGTCCGCATGGAGGGCCATGCGTCTCTGGAGCTCGTGCTTCAGGTCTATCAGGGCCAAGGTCGCATCCTGTAGCTTCGGCCTGTTCTCCTTCGTCGGCTGGAGGAGGTTGTGTGGGGCCGCGGTCTCGATCAACGAATGCTCCAGCGCATTGAAGTAGTCTGAGGGCGTGCCGTGCCGTTGGCCCTCTCCACGAACAAGATGCCACTGTTGGGTTAGATTGCGTTGGCGGAGAAGGGTCCGGAGGTGGTCGCGCATAGCATCTAAGCGAGGTGGGATATCGGCATTCTCATCTCTCAGAAAGCGTAGGTCCCTCACCAGAGCTTCGCGATCCCATCTGGCTGGCTTGGGTTCGGGAACTCTTTTTGCACGCGCGCCAGCATAGATGTGAGCTTCCACTGGGCAGTGGTCACGATATCCTCCGAGGCCGACTGGTAGATCCCTTAGGGGGTGCGTTTTGGTGCCGTAGGCACCGCACAATCTGACACATATGTAGTCTATGGTCGTCCATCCCATGCCGATCACATGCTTTCACGTACCGTTCTGTCTCGTGCGCTTGCCGAAGGTGTTGAGAGCCGACAGGTGGAACGTCTGGAGGAGGTCTAGCAGGCGGGCGCCGTTGCCGTTCAAGTTAGTGCATGTACGGCGCTGGCCCGCGTAGCCGACGTGCGGGAGCTGAGGCACCATGGCAGCGTTAGCGTCCATGGTCATCACTAGGGCGACCCGCTGCGGCAGCTGGCTCAGGGCGGACCTGCAGGTATCCCAAAAGCGGCCCTGGAGATCACGGTGGGCGATGCTCTTCTGATGTTGGTCTTCACCAGCTCTCGCGGGGCCAACTTCATTGAGGGGGGCGTAGCCGTTCAAGATGTATAGGTATATTTCTTTGGGTCCCTTGCGTGTAAGTCGCATACCGTGTAATCTGCCATCCATCCAATTGTGATATACTCTAAGTTCTGAAAGTGCGAAGATGCGGAGGTCAAAGGCAATCAAGCAGCCGTCCCTGCTCGTTCGTGTCGTGCGCGGAGTGGGGATGATCCTGTATCCCTCGGTGGTCCACGGAAGTGCCCAGCTCCATGAGGGTGCTCTGGAGGCTGACAACGGCCACTCCCCTGGATCTTGCTAGCCTGAGGATCTGCCAAGCGATCAGCCCGATGCAAGCCTTCACAGTTGTAGGTCCAGATAGTGAGCAGCTGGGTATGGCGTTTGTCTCTGCGACGGCGGTGATGATAATATACGGCGGCGCTGGTGGCCGTGCTCGGTGTAGTTGGCGATGTACGAGCTGGTGTCGTAGTCGAACGCGTAGATGTCGGTCTTGCCCCAGGAGCAGTGAACTCATGCATTGCTGGAAGAAGTGCAGCTGCCGTGGCTCTGGTATACCCCTTGCGATGGTACCACACCTGTCCCTCCAATCGCAATGTTCGCACGGCCCGTCGAAGGGCCCTTTTGCCACCCACATGCACTTGTTCCCTGGAGGCCGCTGTCGGCATGGTCGATATTGCATCCAGGTTCAGGACCGTCGTGCAGCGATCCAGCGCTCACCTCGCCGACCGCGGGGTTCTTGGAGGTCTTCCCCATCATGTGCGCCTCGCAGCGCTGGCCATGGCGGCTGAAGGGAAGAGAGGTCGGTGTTCGGGCTGGGACTTGCGACCCAGCACTCGAGCCGTCGAGGCTTTCCGCCAGCCTCCGCCAGCGTCCGCCGGCGAAGGCGGCCTCGTTGTACTCTCGCCGACCTTCCGCCGCCCTTCCGCCGCCTTCCGCGGCGGAAGAGGTGACAACTCTTTCGATCCTCGAAGGCAAGGCCCTTTCTGGAACGCCCCATATTGGTGGGATGTTGCGCAAGACGACGCGGCGGCCTCACGCCATAGGGGGGGGCTCACGCAGGCCGCCGGCGCGCTGCGCGGAGGACCCCAGGCGTGCAGCTCGCGCTCGCGCGAACGTCAGCGCGGTCGCTGCGTCGCTGAGGTGGGGAACCGATCGCTACGCACCTTCGACCATGGACCCATCGATACTTAGCGGCCTTGGGCGGCCCTCCACAGTCTTCCAACAGTCTTCGGCGGTCTTCGTCGGTCTCCAGCGGTCGGGCGAGCTCGCGCTCGCCCTCGCGCGACCCCGCTGCCGTTCGCGCGGGCTCGCGCTTGCGCACACGTCAGCGCGGTCGCTCCAACATGCATCGAGCAGGGGATCGAATACCCACCTCCCCCCTCCCTCCTCCCTCCTCCCTCCTCCCTCCTCCTCCTCCCTCCTCCCTCCTCCTCCTCCCTCCTCCCTCCTCCTCTCCTCCTCCTCCTCCCTCCTCCTCCCTCCTTCCTCCTCCTCCTCCTCCTCTCCTCCTCCTCCCCCTCCTCCTCCTCCTCCTCCTCTTCCTCCTCCTCCTTCTCCATTCCTTCTCCTTCTGGGGAACTTCGCCCTGTCGCACCCCGAGGCCAGTTTTTAGGGCGGGCGGGGCGTTTCACCTCAGACTTCATCACATTCTATGACTCTGAAGCTTAAAAAATGACAACAGCTTCACGGATTGACGGCGGGTCGTTTTCAAAATGTGGCTTTCGCCTTAGCGGCGCGCACATCTGTTTTAAAACATGGCCAAAGTTTCACGGATTGAGGGAGGGTCGTCTTCAAAATGTGGCTCTCGCCTTCGCGACGCGCACATTCTTTTAAAAATTGCAAGAGTTTCACGGATTGAGGGCGGGTCGTTTTCAAAAAAAAAACTTGCTCTCGACTTAGCGCCGCTCACAGTAGTTCTAAAGATTTGCAAGAACTTCACGGATTGAGTGCGGTTCCGTTTTCAGAATGTTGCTCTCGCCTTAGCGCCGCGCACATTCGTTTTGAAACCTTGCCGAAGTTTCACGGATTCCCATGATCAACGTACCAGGAATGGTGTTTTGGAAGGATTCAGGATTATGCGGGCGCCACAGTTATGTTGATTCGCGGTGCTCAAGTCCCAACAATGGCGTTCTGACACGATTCCAGATCGTCAAGACGCAGCAGTCAGGTTAATACGTGGCGTTTTGGCACGTTTCAGGATCTTCGAACGGTTGTCTTCCAACGAGGCAGTTCCCTCAATGGAAATGAACCGCTGTAGGTGCCTATGAAGAGGGAACTTGGAGGGAGGGTTAATTCCAACATCGTTGATGACTCTTGGGTTTACACTGGTCCTCCTCCTCCTCCTCCTCTTCCTCCTCCTCCTCTTCCCCGTGCATGCGTCGGTCTCGTGCGTTGTTTGTCCGCCTGAGGATCCCAAATGCTCCAGGACGGCTCCGGCGCTGGCCTCGCCGGCAGAACGTGCACGCGCCCGAACGATGCCGAGACGATCTGAGGACAGCACAACCCGCCCTCACCCCAAGCCAGGAGGAGGAGGAGGAGGAGGAGGAGGAGGAGGAGGAGGAGGAGGAGGAGGAGGAGGAGTGGGAGAGGAGGAGGGGCACTCCCAGTCACGACCTGGAGATCCAGGTGGCCCTGGCTAGGAGCGGGGGGGGGGATGGGGGCCAAAAGCCGCCGTCACCCCCCGCCAGGACCCCCTGGATCACCAGGTCGGGAGTAGGGGTCCTGGCTGGGGGTGGGCGTGGGTTGTGCTGTCCTCATTATCGGCGGCGCCTCAGATCCGAGTTGCGGTGTAGCACTGGCATCATCGCTGCCATCGCCGCTGCCATCATCAATGTCATCCTCGTTGTTGCAGTTTCTGTCCTTGGGCGAAGGCTCCAGACAGGAGGACCGGCAACGGCCAGTGCGAGCTTCCAAGGCTCGCCGAGCCAGCTCGGCACAGCGAACCAGCAGACGTGAATTCCGCGCGGCCCCAGTGAAGGAGGGCGGCCCCCATGTTCGACGAATTCCGAACCCCGCCCTCGCCGCCCATCGAGTTGCCTGCACCGCTGAACGGAGAGGGTGGGGCTCGGACTGGTGCGAGCTTCCAAGGCTCGCCGAGCCAGCTCGGCACAGCGAACCAGCAGACGTGAATTCCGCGCGGCCCCAGTGAAAGAGGGCGGCCCCCATGTTCGGCGAATTCCGAACCCCGCCCGCGCCGCCCATCGAGTTGCCTGCACCGCTGATCGGAGAGGGTGGGGCTCGGACTGGTGCGAGCTGCCAAGGCTCGCCGAGCCAGCTCGGCACAGCGAACCAGCAGACGTGAATTCCGCGCGGCTCCAGTGAGAGAGGGCGGCCCCCCATGTTCGACGAACTCCGAACCCCGCCCGCGCCGCCCATCGAGCTGCCTGCACCGCCGATCGGAGAGGGTGGGAACTCGGACTGCGCCGCCGACCACGGCAGCAGCACTCTCTGGTCCCACACCTCTGCTCGGCGGCCTCTCGAGTCCGAGCCGCGGCCCGGCACCGACACGGCTGCGGAGGAGCGCGAAGTGAGCACGGAGGCCAGCGGGGAGGCAGGAGCGAAGGAGAACTGGGACACACCAAGAAATAGGCACAAATGACCAGATCCCCCGTAGTTGCCCATGTCTTCTGGGTTTCTGTCGTCCCCCCACTCCCCATATATTTTCCAGATTTGCTGGGGCATCGACGATTCATTGTGTCTGTGTCTGTGTGTGTGTGTTTTCTCCCCTCCTGCAGGAGGCATAGGAGGAGGCGACCGCGGGCGGCAGGGGCGCCCGCAGAGCGGGGAGGCGCTGCCCCCCCGCACGCCCGCAGGCATGGGGGGGGCGGGCGCGCCCTGCCTGCAGTACCGCAGGAGCCCGACCACGAGGATTAAGCCGGGCCTGTCCCCCGAACAGGGAGACTTTCGACGAAAAAAAAAATATCCCAGTGCGACCCTACCTAGGAGTTGGAACCCCTAGGAAAGCAGCATTAGTAGTAACAGTAACGCTAAGCTAAAGCTAAGCTAAAGCTAAGCCACAGCTAAGCTAAAGTTAAGCTAAAGCTGAGCTAACGCTAAGCTAAAGCTAAGCTAAAACTAAGCTAAAACTAAGCTAAAGCTGAGCAACAGCTAAGCTAAAGCTAAGCTACAGCTAAGCTAAAGCTAAGTTAAAGCTAAGCTAAAGCTAAGCTACATCTAAGCTTCAGCTAAGCTAAAGCTAAGCTAAAGCTAAGCTACAGCTAAGCTACAGCTAAGCTCAAGCTAAGCTAAAGCTAAGCTAAAGCTAAGCTAAAGCTAAAGCTAAAGCCAAAGCTAAAGCTCCCAGGGGCCTGGGGGGAACCGCGGGGCTGGGACTGGGGGAACCGCCCGGGGCGCTTCGCACTGCCCGGCCCCTTTAAGCTAAGAGAGTAAGAACCCTTCTAGGCAGAGCCTAGGTAGGGAAATACCCCAAAAATACTCAAATGATCCCGGCAAAGCAACCTAACAGCGATGTGTAGGAGCATATCTGGAAGCATTCCCCTTAAGATTCAGATGAGAATCCAGTTGTAGACTTCTGCTGTTCTCGCAGTCGTAGTCGCATTCGCGATGACAGTCGCAGCGGCAACGGCAGTCGCAGTCACAGCCTCAGCCTCAGCCTGCCTCAGCCTCAGCCTCAGCCTGCCTCAGCCTCAGCCTGCCTCAGCCTCAGCCTCAGCCTGCCTCAGCCTCAGCCTCAGCCTCAGCCTCAGTCTGCCTTCAGCCTCGGCCTCAGCCTCAGCCTGCCTCAGCCTCAGCCTGCATCAGCCTCAGCCTCAGCCTCAGCCTGCCTCAAAGCACATCCTGCCTCAGCCAGCCTCAGGCCTCCGCCGAGCCTCAAGCATCATCCTGCCTCACCTCAGCTCAGCTGCCGTCGGCCTCGGCTCAGCAGGCTCAGCCTCAGCTGCATCAGCTCAGCGTCTAGTCAGCTCAGCC